CTGTCGAGCAGCGGCGGCGGCTCCCGGCGGGACGGGACGGGATGGCGGGACCCGGGGGGCTGAGGCGAGGCGGGAGGGCGATCGCCGGAGAGGGGAGACGGGGTGAGGGGAGAGCGTTGAGGGAGGGTGAGGGGACAGGCGGTGAAATGAGGGGACAGGCGGTGAGGGAAGGTGAGGGGACAGGCGGTGAAATGAGGGAACTTCTTCACGGTGAGGGTGACAGAACCCTGGAACAGGCTGCCCAGGGAGGTTGTGGAGTCCCCTTCCTTGGAGATTTTCAAGACCCGCCTGGATGCTCCTGAGTAACATGCTCTAGCTCTAGGCAATCCTGCTTCAGCAGGGCAGACCATAGATGATCTCTATGGTCCCTTCCAACTCTAAAATTCAGTGAAATTCAGTGAAATTCAGTGAAATTCAGTGAAATTCAGTGACAGGCGGCGGGGTGAGGGTGAGGGGGAAGAGGTCGAGCTGAGGTGAGGTGAGAGGCGGGAAGGCGTCCGGGCCGGTCGCTGCCCTCAGCCCGCTGGTGCCTCCCGCCCTTCGCCTCACGGGGTTGAACGGCCCCGGGGCCGCCATCTCCTGGGGCACCTTCTCCCGCTGCGGGGGCTCCCCTCAGGCGGTGGCCGCCGTGACAGGAGGCGGTGTGGCGGGCTGTGTTTGTGCTTTGAGGGGTGCTCGTAGCCGTAGCCATCTCCCTCAGCCCTTCCCTTGTATAAATCATAGGGAGAAAAAGCGTCCCAAAGGCTGAATTTGGGGTTTTGTAGCCATATGGCCCCTCAGGCCTTCACCCCAGAGCCCCCCATCTCTCCCCGAGAGCCCCTGGCTGCTGGTGTCTTGACGCTCCCAGTGTGGCTTTTGCTCAGGTAATCGCTCAGCTAACCTCCACTTTGCCCTTGCCTGGTAATCCAGATTTCAATTACTACTTTAGTTTCTGCAGGACGCCCGAACGACTGGCACCAGTACGAGTTTAATAGACGGCGGGTCGGTAATTGTGAGAAGGTACCAGGCTCCATCACCGGCGGCTGTTGGTGCCGGCTGATGAATGGTGGTTCTTCCCTCGCTGCTGGGGGAAGGGGGTGTGAAAAGCCGTAGCTCTTCCCACCGTCAGTTTTGAAATTAAGTGGTGAAGCTAGTGTTAATAGGGGCTGCCGAATCTTGGAATAAATCTCCTGCGAGGAAAGTGCAAAACATGTGAGTCATTCTGGAGTTTGTGTAATTCTAAGCAGTCATCTGCTTTTTTTTCAGCAATAGTTGGCTAATATGTATTATTACATATTGTCTTCTGTCATAATTAGGGAGAAATGAATAATTGAAGGAATAGGCATGCTGCTGTCTGTTTTGGTGTCAAAAAGAAACTGTGAGTATATTTGGCTTCTGTCAGAAGCTGTGGTTGGGGTCTAGCGAGGACTTGGGAGCATCCCTTGAGGTCATCAGGTGCTGACATGAAACTGCGGTGGCTATCCCTCACATAAATCATGTTTGTAAGTGGTTTAGGTCATTGCTTCTTGACCTGGGATTATTTTGACAGGCATTTGTGAAGTGGGCATTTCCCTTCAGTAGTCGGTCCCTTTCTACCCCCACTCCTGGGTCACAAAAATGTATGGCACATTTTAAGTAATTTTCTTCAGGACTATGGGATATTCTTCTGTTTTATAGACTCTTACGTCTAGCAGTTAATAAATACGAAAATGTGGGGGTTTTTTCCAGTGCTGTTCTGCTTTTGTGTTCGGCAAAGAAACAGCGCATTTATTTACCAAACATGTCAATTGTTATTTAGTTGTGACGGCATTACTCTTGTTTTGAAGAAGGTACAGTCATAACATTTGGAAAGAATACTGCGTATCAAAACAAAGTGGTACCCAAGCTTTCTAACACTTGTCTTTAATTAGCAGGATTATCGCCAATTCCTCCAAGCAGTTTCTAGCATTAACTTGGGCTCTGCCTGCATACCAAAATTGCTATTTTTGGTATTCAGTAAAGCTTGTTATGTCCCTTGCTTGTTGGTGGAGCTTGCAGAGCTGCTGATCATAATGTTTTTTTTCAGAGGGATGATTTGAAACAGCTGTTCTGCTGCTCCATAATCGGCACATCCTCCGCTCCTCTCATCTCTAGAGGCATAATCTCGCTTAGATTATCAAATCTGATTTAATTCACCAGCTTCATTGAGCTATGGGATAGTCGGGGAAATGAGACACGGATTATAAGGCACTGTTGGACTGTCTTTACTTGTGTCTGGCATTGGTTAGTGATCTATTACAGAGCAAGTGCCTTCTACTCTGACCGGCTGGAGTTGCCGATTCAATGTATTTTGGGAGTTGAGTCTTGCACACTTACACACTGCACCCTCAGGTCGGTAAGGTCCCTGCCTAACTTCAGCCAAGGTATTTACACACCTCTGAGCACTGGATTTAGAAGTCTGGTAACACAAGTTTGGAATAACTTACATTTTTCAAATCCATCTTTTACTTACGGTAGCACAGACTTTAAGAGGCATCCGCATTTTCATTGCCTTACATTACATTTCAGCCTTACAGGTCCAAAGATCCAAAAAATTCTAGCAACACCACAAAAATGAGATTAAATTCTCTAAAAGTAAAACAATATTAGAATTACAACTTGCTTTAAAACTTTGAATTTGATTGATTGCTTTAAAATTTGATCAAAATAAAAGGACAATGCTACTGCCTCTTTCAGATCAAGACGTTGAATTTTTTAGCAAATAGGTACACAAAAAGACCTACTGGGTATTTTAAGGAAGATGATGGGGAAAAATAAAATCCCAACAGAAGTCACATTTCGTGTGCTTTTAAGCTGAAATAATACAGTTGTCCTCAGTGAAAAGGAGCAGAAGTTAATGCAGTGGCTGGGAAGAATTGCAAGTTGAACTACTCTGTGTGGATTTAATCTTGGAATGTACTTTTTGGCGTAGTCAAACCATTTAAAAAATAAATTGAACTAATTAAAATGGGGTATAGTGATACTGCATTGGACATGGACAACCTGGCAGAGCCCTAGTTTTTTCAGCATTGAATAAAGCCTGTGTTGCAGTGACTTGGGTTAGTATCTTGGTTTGAGTAGAGGTGCATGTTAGTATCTTGGTTTGAGTAGAGGTGCATGCTTAAGAGTGGACTCTTATGCAAAGGATAACCCTTACGTTTGAGCACTACTTGCTGATCTAGTTCTCCCCTGAAGGCTGAATACTTCTCAAAGCTGTCACTGAATGGTTTTGGGATGAGAAGGGCATTTGTTGGCAGTAAACTTAGGTTCCTTTTAAGGGCTAGCCAAAGTGTGAACATGGTTTATCAGGACAATGAAATAAACACACGTGGAATAAAACATCCTCCTCCTTCCAGCTTCCAAAGGCTGTGTGTCAGGTTTGCTCGGCCAAACCTTTGCTAACCTTACATATGGCAGCAGTCATCTCCCTGTTGCTGAGGGCTGCAGGGTGGGTGCTGCACCCTTAAAGAAGCGAGCCAAGGGTGGTGGAAGCCTCTCGGAGTGTTTCATGGGCTGGAGATGACATTCCAGGTGTCTGCTGCTCCACGGGACTTGCAGTGGCTGAGTGTGCTGCTGAGCCCCAAGGCAGTTCAGCAAGGGTTTTTCCACTTGTGCCTTATAATTTGTCTTCTTGCCAGCAGGAGCTTGGATTTACCCAGCAGTGCCCCTGCCAGCACGGCCTTTCTCCTGAACGCGAAGATGTAGCTTCACGTGGAAAGCTTTGCACCACCTGCAGTTTGTCCTAATCATGTAGTGAAAAACAGGAGGGCGGAAATGCCACTTTTTCTTAAGATTTGCAGTAATAAGGAACCTACAAGTGTTTTATCATCTCAGTTGGGGAACGTGGATGTGGGCATTCCTCATCTTGAACCAACAGTGGAGGTGAAGATCCTTAGGGAGAGGGCTTTTGGCCAAAGGGCTGTCCAGGCTGCATTCTGGGTGCTGCAGAGAGAACTCCTGCGGGCATGTTTCTCCGGAGGGTTTTATTGCAAGATAATGATTTGGTAGCAACAAACTTTGTGACTTTGTGAAGTATGTCGAGATTGATCCGTTACGCTGAAAGAGCGGACAGGTTCTTAGCCCTCCCCGTCTGTCTCCCGTTTTGTGGTTAAATGGGTAAATTGGAGACGTGCGAGGGCTCTGGGGTTATTGCAGGGGGAGGAGGGGGGGAGGTTGAGCCGCCACTCAACCGCTAGATGCATAGCCAAAGGAAATGAAGCTTCATTAGCTTTGCTGCACACAGAACTATTTGCTTAATTAATAAGCATCCTTCAGACCTACATTTGTGGGTCTTCAGGATCAGAGATAACAGTGGTCTGGGTTGTGTAACCCAGCATGATGCAAGAGAGAGATGAGATGATGAGAAAAATGGGTGATATGTACCCTGATAGAGGGTGTCTCTCATTCTGTCAATAATTCTGTGTAAGTATTGCTCAGTAAAGTTGGCGTGAGATGAGCTGTGTGGTGCTCGAGAGGGATCTGCAGGAAAGGGGTGGTTTGGTGAGCTGGGTCGTATGAAGAAAGGTTGAACTTTCAGGGCAAGGAGCATGGTGTTGGACCAAGACACTGGGAAGGAGAAAGGGAAGAGTAGTGAGGAAAGGGGAGCAAAGGCAGAGCTGTGAGCAAGCCTGAAGAGAGGAGAATTTTGAATTTGGTGTGGAAGGGGATGAAAACCTGGCATGCTGTGCACGTTTTTTTGCCTATACCAGAATAAATCTATATCTGGCTTAGAGCCATGGGAGTCAGTGAAGTTACACAAGGGAAAAATTTGGCTTGTTTGGTCTAATTGGTGTATGTTACAGGTCACGTTTCAGTAATTGATCCAGCCAATGAAGGCAAAAGAACAAAATAAAAACAAAAGAAAAGGCAGAAAATGTCAGTGAAAAGCTACATAGATTATGTCACTCAAGAGAATCTTAATTGCTCCTTCAGATTTCTAAGAACCTGCACTGGGAAAGGTGAAGGTGGTGAGGAAAAT